GCCAAGACCCTATCTTTAAAAAAAAAAAAAAGAGCTTAGAAAACTCTGAGGAGAATCTTTGTCAATGGTCACTCTTGAGGAGTTCCAGCCAATGTCAGGGGAAGCTGGCCCTGGTCCCAGCTCCTGTGGACAGTTCCTCCCCCGAGAGGCAGCTGGTGGGCACTAGGCTGCCAGTCATTGCCCCGAGCTGGGCAGGGGAGAGCTGGCCCAGCACCTGAACCCACTGCCCTCTCTTGTGTTCTGTTCTGTCGGGAGACCTGCAAATGACATTTCATCTCTAACCAAGAGAAGGGTGTCCATGTCTTCCCCACTTCTTTCCTAACCATGTGACTTCCCTTCACTCACCTGAGGTTTGGAGTCTGGGGAGTCCAAACTACCTGGTACAACCCTGACCCATGGCTAAAGCTGTGAGCAAGTCAGTTTACCTCTCCCAGAGCCTAATCCCCAGTCTTGACAGTGACCAAGCCTGAGCATGGTTGCTCATGTCTGTAATCCCAGTGCTTTGGGAGGCTGCCTCCCAAAAGTAGTGAAACCCCGTCTCTACTAAAAAAATACAAAAAAATTAGCCAGGCGTGGTGGCGGGCGCCTGTAGTCCCAGCTACTCGGGAGGCTGAAGCAAAAGGATTACTTGCCAAGATTGGCACAATCTTGGCTCACTGCAACCTCCACCTCCCAGATTCAAGCAATTCTTCTGCCTCAGCCTCGCAAGTAGCTGGGATTGCAGGTGCCTGCCACCACACCTGGCTAATTTTTTTTTTTTGTATTTTTAGTAGAGATGGGGTTTCACCATGTTGGCCAGGCTGGTCTTGAACTCTTGACCCCAGGTGATCCACCCGTGTCTGCCTCCCAAAGTGCTCTGATTACAGGTGTGAGCCACCGTGCCTGGCCATGGAATTTCTTGAGTGATAGGAGCATCTTTTGTTATTTGCAATGAGCCCCATTTCATCATACCTGCGCGTATGCTAATGAGGTGACAGGGTAGGGCCATTAGATTGCCTCAGGATGGAGCTGGTCACCAAAAAGACCAAGAGATTAGCGGGTCAGAATGTTCAGCCCCACTCACAGAACTCTGAAAAAGGGAGAGGAGCTGAAGATTAAGGTCTATAAAAGCTCTTGAACAATAAGATTTGATGAGCTTCCAGGTTTGTGAACACATTGAGGTGCTGGGAAGGTGGTGCTCCTGCAGGGGACATGGAAGCCTCTAGCAACCTAGTCCCCCAGGACCATGCCCAGTGCATCTTTCCCATATGGCTGTTCATGAGTTGTATCCTTCATAACAAACCAGTAAATGCAAGTAAAGGGCCTTCCTGAGTTTTGTGAGCCATTGTTGCAAATTTTCAAACCCACGGAAAGGGTCCTAGGAATCCCCAGTTGATGGCCAGTTGGTCAGAAGTGCAGGAGACCTGGTCTTGCAGTTGGCATCTGAAGAGGGGACAGTCTTGTGGAATGGAGCCCTTTGACTTGTGGGATCTGATGCTAACTCCAGGTGGATAGTGTCAGAATGGGATTCCATTGTAGTACTCCAGCTCGTGTCCGGAGAGTTAGAGAATTGCTTGATGTGGAAAAAATCCACACATTTGCTGTCAGAAGTGTTATGTGAGTAGGGAGAAAAAGTGTTTTTGCAGAGAGGGGCAAATGGGGCATGTCCAGTGCTAGGCTCTGAGGGATATTGAGGGATAAGAACCAGCATGGTGCCCTGCACAGGGGAAGTGCTCAGGTGAGTTGGTTCCTGCTCCACGGGGAGCTCAGAAGACACGGTGCCTGTTCTCATTGCCTGTTCTGCAGAAGCATGGAACCCTGTTAGGGAGAAGGCTTGTCTTGTCTAGTGCCCCCACGCCCCCATCCCCAGAAGGCTGACTGGCATTTCTGTCCACAGCACATTCAGGAATTCACCAATGAGACGTGGCAGGCGCGTACTGGAGAGCCACTGCCTGACCACCTAATTCTACTTATGTGGTCCCTCATCGTGTCTCTGTACCCCCTAGGAGGCCTCTTTGGAGCACTGCTTGCAGGTCCCTTGGCCATCACGCTGGGAAGGTAAGTGCTTCCTGTGTACCCCCTGAATGCCCTTTAATGAAGAGTGCTGCAGCCTGCAGGCTGAGGGACATGGAAGCAGGAAGAGGCCCGGCAAGCTCCAGGCCCAGAACAGCTCCTCATCCAGCCTCTTACTCTGCCTGGAGTTTCACCTTGCAAGACACATCTTCCGGGATTTGGTAGAGCAAACAGTCCTGTGCTACGAGAGGGGGAGGACTCCTGGTTTCTAATTTCATATCTACCAACAAGTGCTAACTGACCTAAAACAAGTATTTTCTTCCTGGGCCTCACTTTCCATCTGCATATCTAATGCAGTTCTTGGATTGCAAACAACACAGACTGACTCTGATTAACAGAATCAAAAATGTAATAGCTCAAAGGACATTGGGGCAGCTCATAGCATGAAAGGAAGTTCTTAGAAGCCAGGCCTGGCCAGGCAGGGTGGCTTACCCCTGTAATCCCAGCACTTTGGGAGGAATTACACTAAGGAGGAAAGATTGCATGGGTCCAGGAGTTTGAGACCAGTCTGGGCAATGTGGTGAGACCCCATCTCTACAAAAAATTAGCCAGGTATGGGCTGGGCGCAGTGGCTCATGCCCGTAATCTCAGCACTTTGAGAGGCTGAGGCGGGTGGATCACCTGAGGTCAGGAGCTTCAGACCAGCCTGACCAACATGGCGAAAACCCATCTCTACTAAAAATGCAAAAATTAGCAGGGTGTGGTGGCACACTTCTGTAGTCCCAGCCACTCAGGAGGCTGAGGCAGGAGAATCACTTGACCCCACAAGGCAGAGGCTGCAGTGAGCCAAGATCATGCCACTGCACTCCAGCCTGGGCAACAGAGTAAGACTCCATCTCAAAAAAAAAAAAAAAAAGAAAAAAAAAATCAACCAGTTATGGTGACACATGCCTGTGGACCCAGCTACTCGGGAGGCTGCAGCAGGAAGATCACCTGAGCCCAGGAGATCGACGCTGCAATGAGTCTTGATTGTGCCACTGTACTCCAGCCTGGATGACACAGTGAGCGCCTGTCTCAAAACAGCGGCTTACTAGCGATCTTAGTCTATTTTTGTTGCCATAACATAATAACTGAGACTGGGTGATATATAAAGAACAGAAATTTACTTTCTCACAGTTCTGGAGGCTGTGAAGTCCAAGATCAAGGCACCAGCAGATTCAGTGTATGGTGAGGGCTACTCTTTCTGCTTCTAAGGTGGTTCCTTGTCCCTGTGTCCTCATATGGCAGAAAGGGCGAATGCTGTGTCCTCACATGGTGGAAGACAAAGGGGCAAAAGGCAAAAAGAGCCTGCCTAGTTCCCTCCAGCCCTTTTATAAAGCACTAGTCCCATCAATGAAGGTGGAGTTCTCATGGCCTAATCAATCTCCCAAAGGTCTACCTCTAAATACTGTTGCATTGGAAATTAAATTTCAACCTGAATTTTGGAAGAGACACAAACCATCAAACCATAACACTAGCACAGGATCACCAAGACTGGATTAGACCACTGGGGCTCATATCTGCACCCTGGGGAGTAGGGGAACAATCGCAAACAAAAGTGGGGCTCTTCCCACGAAGATGGAGGTAATAACTATTGTGTGGCTACCTCATGATACCTGGTTCAGCTGGCATAAGCATGAAAGGAAGAAATTAAAAATTCAAATTTAGCACATATGCCTATTCTGATTATGTCAAATGTCTGTTCCCCTCCCCAGGACAGGGGGATGTAGTTCTTCCATTTAGCAGCTGACTGGAGCTCTGAAATGTGTTGCCATCTTTGGGTGCTCAGGGTTGGTTGCATAGGGCAACAGGTGGGTTAGTCATCTCGGTGCCAGGAAGCCCCTATTGTTGAGCCCATGTGCGTTTTCTGTGCTTTCTACCCTATTTGCTTTGTTTATCACCCAACTGAGTAAGCACCAGGATGGTCAAAGAAGGCAGTTGAATGCCATCTACAGATAGAAGGTCATATTGTCCATGATTATGCATGATTATGAAGAGCCTCTTTGCAGCAGGAAGGGGATTCTGATAAGCAGAAACATATTTATGTATATTTTCAGGTTCTGGGTTATTTATTTATTTTTTTGAGACAGAGTTTTGCTCTTCTTGCCCAGGCTGGAGTGCAATGGCGTGATCTTGGCTCACTGCAACCTCCGCTTCCCGGGTTCAAGTGATTCTCCTGCCTCAGCCTCCCAAGTAGCTGGAATTATAGGCGCCCGCCACCACGCCTGGCTAATTTTGTATTTTTAGTAGAGAGACGGGATTTTCCATGTTGGTCAGTCTGGTCTCGAACTCCTGACCTCAGGTGATTCACCCACCTCGACCTCCCAAAGTGCTGGGATTACAGGCGTGAGCCACGGTGCCCAGCTATATTTTCAGATTCTGGGCTAATTTTAAAAGATACACCCACTTAGTGTTTCCCTGTACCTCCTTGAAACCAGTCTTCAAATTCTGCTTCATCTAAGACTGTCTGTCCAACCAAACCTTTTGAAAAAGGGACAGGCCGGGTGCGGTAGCTCTCGCCCGTAATCCCAGCACTTTGGGAGACTGAGGCGGGGGGGGGTTCACCTGAGGTCAGGAGTTCGAGACCAGCCTGGCCAACATGGTGAAACCCCATTTCTACTAAAACTACAAAAATTAGCCGGGCGTGTTGGCGGACGCCTGTAATCCCAGCTACTCAGGAGGCTGAGGCAGGAGAATCACTTGAACCCGGGAGGCAGAGGTTGCAGTGAACCGAGATCGTGCCACTGCACTCTAGCCTGGGCAACAAGAGTGAGACTCCATCTCAAAAAAAAAAAAAGAAAAGAAAAGAAAAATAAAAAGAGGCAAAAGAAGTCCATGCTAGGCTGGGCGTGGTGGCTCATGCCTGTAATCCCAGCACTTTGGGAGGCCGAGGCGGGCAGATCATGAGGTTGGGACATCAAGACCATCCTGGCTAACACGGTGAAACCCTGTCTCTACTAAAAAAATACAAAAAAAATGTGGTGGCGGGCGCCTGTAGTCCCAGCTACTGGGGAGCCTGAGGCAGGAGAATGGCGTGAACAGCTGAGGTAGGAGAATCACTTGAACCTGGGAGGCAGAGCTTGCAGTGAGCCCAGATTGCGCCACTGCACTCTAGCCTGGGTGACAGAGCGATACTCCGTCTCAAAAAAAAAAAAAAAGTCCATGCTAAAAAATCTATTGGATGGGTTTAAGTCCTTCAATACCTTTTAGGTCCAAACTGATGTGAGTGACCTATTCATGGGAAACTTTGGGGCCCACATTGGGCAAGTTTGGTTTATACCACTTCTATTCAGTGACGGAGTAGTACAGGGCACACTCAAGCTTAGTAGGAGGGTGTCATACAGCACCCAGTTATGATAAGTACATGGCCCTGTGGCATCCCACAGCCTGGTGTTTATTCCTCACTAGGGCCTAGTGACAAGGCCAGGAGCTCTTTCTCCTTAAGAGGATAGCAGGCTGGGCATGATGGCTCATGCCTATAATTCCAGCACTTTGAGAGGCCAAGGGAAGAGGATCTCTTGAGCCCAGGAGTTTGAGACCAGCCTGGGCAACATAGCAGGACCCCATCTCTACAAGAAAAAAAGAAAAAATTAGCCAGGCATAGTGGCGTACACCTGTGGTCCCAGCTACTCAGGAGTCTGAGGTGGGAGGATCACTTGAGCCTGGGAGGTCGAGGCTTCAGTGAGCTGTTATAGCACCACTGCACTCAAGCCTGGGTGACATAGTGAGACCCCATCTCTAAATAGATAAATATACGTATTTATTTATATATATATGAAAAAAATATATATTTATATATATGAAAAAATATATATAATATGTATATATAAAAGAGGCTAGTAATTTGCTGAAGGAGAGTAGTTCAACTTAAAAATCTTTGGTTTTGCATTGTGACCTCTTTTTAGAGTATTTTAACTGCCACTTTGAGCACCACAGGCTCTCCTAAAGCTAAGGGGTTGAGTGGCAGAGCTCTTTGAGCTTGTCTTGGGGCCGTGATTGTGTATAGTTGCTAGTGCGATGTGAATTTGGCTTCGACCCACTAGAGAAATACTTCTCTTGCTAAGCACCACTCAAAACTGCCAGGTTTTCAAGTCACCTGATAAATGTGCCAGGACACGACACCTGATGTGGTATTCCGCTGCCTCCAAAATGGAAAGAAGCTCTCAGAGGTGGCCGGGCGCGGTGGCTCAAGCCTGTAATCCCAGCACTTTGGGAGGCCGAGACGGGTGGATCACGAGGTCAGGAGATCGAGACCATCCTGGCTAACACG